CATTTTGAATACTGTGCCATGTGATATGGCTTCGCAACTGACATGTCAACTAAAGTATTTCCATTGCAATAAACACAAAAATACATATATATCGTGATATACCATCAAGAGTTTTACTGTGCGCGACCAATGCTTCGTCCGTTGACATCAATGACTCTCGGTGGAAGCCTTTTTTGTCGCTCCAAAATTCCATCATAATGTCGTACTGCAGTGGCAATGCACTAGCTGGACCATTGCCAGTCTTGCTGGGACTCCAAGGTTTCGTCAATGCCCAAGCGGCCTTCACTTTCAAGAACTATAGAGCGAAAAAAAATGGGAGTTTATACAGATACAACAACTTACCTTGTCTTGTACTTGAGCAACGGAAAACTCTTTCTCCGTCGACATGCTCAACTCCACCGCCAGCATAACATACGCCGCCTTCTTCTCGGCGTTGTTTTTCGAGTCGAAACGCTTGGCCAACTGCGACTTGCACCGAAGTCGGAACAATTCATGGACACTCTCGTCATCCCAAAGGGAGCCTCGCTTTGGGGTGTCGACCGACGTGCGCTTTGCGCGTCTGGCCTTCTTGGCCTTTGGCGTTAGTTGCGCTATGTACTGAGTGTCAGCATACGTTGAACGTAGACATTGTAGTGAATACCATGGGTTTCTACATCATGCGTGTGAGTGTCGTCGTCATCACTCATGGGTCAGTCTGCAAATTGACTGTAAACGAGGAATGGCTGGTACAGGGCAGGAACGCCACATCCCTGCCTCAACCCAAATTGTCAAGCAGGAACATTATGCGGATTTCGGATATATTGACCAATCAAATTGATTTTGTCCCAGCCTGAATATCAAAAAGCTGGAATGTATTCAGCGACCAGGCTCTTAGTTGGTGTCGCAAGGAGTCAACCAAGAACAATTCTATCGCACGCTACAGCGTTCTGCGTTGTGCGTGGCTGCAATGGATGTGTGCTCCCACCAAATTTTTCGTAACTTAGGTCCTTTTCCGGTAGCCCAAACCACGTCAGATGCCATTGCAGCGTTCTCAGACCGCGCGCTTTGCCTTGATATCCGAGCTGTCATTTGATTTGACCATGAAGTCCAACACAAACTCGCGCATGATACACGCCGAGGCTGTTCATGGTCAAGTTGTGCCTAAACCTGAACAGGACGGCGTAGTCCATCACGAGCACACCCACGACATTCGCGACGAGGTCAAGCATGATGGCGAAGGCCCCGCGGACGTAGAACGGCCCCGATCGAGCAGTACAGGTTGCAATGGCGGATCTGGCCCAGATTATGCATCGACGTCACTTGCCCAGCGAGGAGCACCCCGTGCAGTAGCTCTTGTTGAACCCGCGATACCGAGGAATGACTCAGGTTGCTTTGTGGTCGTGGTGCGAATTTGCAACCGTTGCCAAACTGTATATCCCCTTGCTAGCGTGCGGGTTCATATGTCGTGGCTTTCAAATCGAACTTGTACCATCGCGCTGTGGGTACGTTGTCGGC